CTCAAGATGGCTCAACAGCTTTGCACTTGGCCAGCGACACTGGCCACACAGATGTTGTGCGAGTCCTACTGGAGGCAGGAGCTGACAATGACGATGAACGGAAAATTCTTGGATAGTGGTGCCGTGACATCCAATGAATTTGGGCAAACCTGAGCAGTCGTCGGTCTTTTGGGGGGTCTCCCTATTCCGGTTTGATCTGCAGGCTTGTAGGTCCCCCACTCAATTTGTTTGGTACAGCTCTCTACAAAACTAGGCTGACCCACTGGCACCTTGTTGTTTCTACAGAACTGCCCATGATTCCCAGCTTATTCTCCCCATCCCAGGGTGGCCGACATCGACCGATGCTTCATTGCTGCAAAGGCGGTTTTACCGTAGCGGAGCCGCGGGTGGTTCAACGGTGTGACACCTCACACCAAGGTGATGTGTTGAAATGCCCAGAAGATGCTCAGAAGGGGATGCCCGGTACCCAGTATACTGTGTTGTGTTCTACCAAACAATGGAACACAGCTTTGTGAGGCCTCCTTTAGGATCATAGTTTCTTGGTCCATCGTACTCCGCCCTGCATATTTGGGTATGGGGTGGCATTGATGGTGCAGCTTTTGGCATCGTGTCTTTTTTGTGTTTCAATTCACTTTCTGTTTCAGTCATTTTCTGGAACATGAACATGTTCTGGGTCACCGATAGTTCACCCGCATCCAAAAGAGATCATCATGGTCGGTGTCGGTGTCGGCTGCACGTGCTGCCTGGAGTCGGAGCGCTCGTCGAGGAAGCAAGGCAACACTTTGCCGGTGCACCACGGACGTGTCACATGGATTGGTATACTATTAAAATAGGGAAACCCCACCAATGAGTTGGGTTCTATGTATATTTTTGAGGGGTCTTTCGGGGGTCTCCCTATTCTAATACACACCCATATAGGTTCACCGATGTTCACCGTTTTCGCTCGCAAGCTGGACCCTTTTGCGAAAGCTTCTATGTTCCATGAAAGCATCCATGTATACCTACATTGACCCCTGGTCAACCCCAACTGATCGGTCGATAGGCCAGTTTTATGCAGGCTTTGGAATGGTTTGGGTGGTTAAAACAAATCGTCACATATATTCACTAGGATATTAGCCTAGCCCAATAGTTCCCCTGTTCTTGCAGAAGATTCAGGTTCTTCGCGTCGATTGGACTTGTGGTGCAGGTTCTACCTTCCCAGCTCCGCAAAGCGGGGGCGGCCCTGCTCGGCGAAAAGGCGCGGGATTGAAGGTTTGGTTACCCCGTCAACACTGCGGAAAGATTGGTTATCCCTGGAATGGCTTGTTTTTTTATGTGTTTTTCCTGTACAAACAGGGAGTTCACCAGACATGTCCATCATTTATAGTTTTATCATGTTTTATACGTGCAATTGGCACCCACCCCAACCACCTTCACGAGGTTCGGTGATCGATCTTTGATAAAACAGGGTAAAACCGTCCCAAAGCGTCGTGTCTCCATCGGGCTTCGGACCGACGTCGGGATTGGACTTGACGTCGTGCACAACGCGGAAGTGATACACCAATTTGATGGTTCAACATGAAGTTCGGCGCAGTTCTGCTGTGTTTTGTGAAAAAACGGACAATTAAGCTCAGAGCTTTTCCACTCAGCGAAATTGGCCTTTGGTCCATCGAAGGTCCGGATCCATCGATCTCCTGTCGTCCGATGCGCACGTCGCATCAGATGATTCGGAAACGACGGGGCAGACGATCCAACGGATCGCCTGTATGTTCTTATATATTACAGTATATTGTTTTAAATCTAGTGTTTAAAGGAATTCTTTGGATGCTTGGAAAGAACACGCTCCAAGGGGATCCAAGTTGCAAGAAATACTGAAAAAGTGGTGATTCATCTTTTGGTTTTAGTAGTTGAACCTTGTTGTAGTGAAAGGATGGTATGAAAAGATGCCAATAGCGTCAGATGTTCTTTCATTCATGTCCAGCCTCAAGATTCACCAAAGGTGATCTGAGCCAGACAGAGAAGAGTATGTGAGAAGAGCCTGTTTGAACTCTGCACTACACAAGCGCTCACCAGCATGTGCAGACTTCCAACAACCAGCATGCGAAGACTTTAGACAACAATCTTTGCTCCTGATTCATTGATGAACCCTCTCGGTTTTCCAGCCGATGATTGGTGCGGGGCATTCGGTGAGCCTCCTGCATTGAGTCAGCCATTGAAGCTAGCATTGCTGTGCGGTGGCGTGGGGAGCTTGGAGCACTTCATGAATCATGAAGCAGAATGGCGTTGGCCACGGGACTGTGATTTGCAGTCTCGGGTCTGTTGTGGGCAGCGCTCTTTCACTCCCAAAAAGCAAGCACCCAGCCAGGAGTGGCTCCGAAATGCTGTCATTATAAGTATGTGTTGCAGCGCGTGCTTTGTGCCTGTGTCTCGGTGCCTTGGGTCCACTCCGGCGGCTTTGTGCCTGTGTGCCTTGGGTCCACTCCGGCGCACTGTGCCTGTCTCGGTGCCTTTTGGGTCCGCTCCGGCGGTACCACTCTGTGAAGATACTATCATCATTCTAGCATATTCCAGCTATACCAACAAAAAAGCACGAAGCCCGCCCACCCAGCAGATCACACCCTTTGACCGGCTTTTTTGTGGGAAATGCGGCCTACCTCTTGAGCAGGGGTACATGGATGCGATTGTACCATGGACAGCTTCTTGTGATTTTGTGTTCAGGCGAGGCCAATTCGCAGCTGCAACTCCATGGCTGAGGGCTGTGGCATTCTACCCTTACAAGTCCAGCCCATGGCTGTGTGCGCTTTGGAGCTTGGGTGCTGTTGCCAGCGGAGGGTGCTGCTGCAGGGTGTTGTTGCCAGATGTCTTTGGCCATGTGCGCTTTGGAGCTTGGGTGCGGACACTGCTGCCACTGTGGGGTGTTGCTGTGTTGCTGTCAGATGTCTATGGCAGTGTGCACTTGGGCGCAGGTGCTGCTGCCACTGGGGTGTTGTTGCTGTGTTGCTGTCAGATGTCTATGGCGGTGTGCGCTTTGGAGCTTGGGCGCAGGTGCTGCTGCTACTGCCCATAAATATCATTTCGCTATCTGGGGTCTATGCTGGCATAATTTTTGTACAGGACCAAGACTGTGTTGCTCCAATCCCCAAAGTGCTGGGTGTTGAGGGGCCTGGTCACCTTCAGCTTTGATCAGTGTAGGCTGCAAGAACCACAGGTTGGTTTGGAGAGCAGCAGTGGCCGTTAGTCGCAGTATTGAGCTTTGGTGACAGTGCGCTCCAGCGGGGTGGCTTCTTCAAAATAGCTCTCTTCCAAGCAGCAGTGCCAGGGTTCAGCATGCATTTGAGAAGTATGACAGAGGTCTTGTACTTTTCCATCAGATCACCGCTTCAAAAATCAGAAATCCTTTTTAGCAATGGCCTACTGCAGCGCTTAGAATATTGGCCCGGTCGTTGCTGGCTCAAAAGAACTGAGTTCAACGTGCAGTGGGGCATATCTTCTATCTGTGCTGCAGATAGAAGATCGTGCGCAGATAGAACAAATTGTGCCTGCAGCTGTGACCATCCAAACCCACTGTGAGGAAAATTGGAAATGTACATGGGGCTATGACTAGGTATATGGAGTGTGGTAATTCTTTTTTGATTTCAACACAGGACGGCGCCCATATTATTCAAACTGCTTGGGCTTCTCACCCTGATAGCTTGCCTTCGAGCAAGATGCAGCAGGTACTCTGTGAGCCGAAGCAGAGGGTGCTTGCTGTTGAGCGCGCCTTTACCATGCGCTGTGTATTCTGTCAGGCCCCCCGGGTAGAGAACCCCTCCACTACATAAGGTTCCACTACCTCAACCCTGCAATAATGGGTGATATCATCCCTCGAAGAATGACTCGAAGAAAAATGGGAGCCACTTGCATGATTGCTTCAGGGAGTGTATCACCTTTTTATCAGGATTTCTTGGATCCCCCTTGATTTTTTGATAGACATTGCGGGACCCATCTTCCAAGGAAATCACCTGCGTCTCCGGGACACCCCGAATCCTTCTCCGCATTCCGCGAGGTTTTGAGTCGGCATCAGTTCCTGGAGTTCTTGCTCCGTGTGGCAGACCAACGCTTCCTGCAGCGAGGTGGACACCGCGCTCGGCGAGTTTGAACGAGACGGTGGGCGACAGAGTAAGTGGAAAAAACAAACCACGGACGTGAGTGCCAGGAAACGAAGCGTGTTGGTTTTGGATGTTGTCTTGATTTTTACTAAATAAAATCTTAAAGTGTGTTGTTTGTTGTTTCTTTTTGTTTGAAGTACGAAACCACAGTGTTTCCTTTTTATAGTAAACATGGTAAATGGTTTTGGTATGTTTTGATCTGTTGTTTTGCTTCCCAATGTTCTTGATCACACGAGATGGATGTTTGTCCGGGGTTTTAAAAAATTGTCAGGTTCCGGAACCAGTCAATCAAGGTTTTCGAGACGGTTCTTCAACTCAAGATCAGTTGATCGAATTTGGTTATTGCTAATCAGGTTTCGGATAAGGGAATGTGGTGGGAATGTTCAACCAATGACATCTTGGCCAAAGGCAATGGAAGTGAAAGGAGGCCTTGGAACACCACCCTCCTGTTCTGAACATGCCTCACGTTCGTGTGCGTTTGTGTTTCTGGGCTGTTGGTGTTGTCTAGTTGTGTCACCACCAGCAACCTATATGGTGGTTTGATTCTGGTAGTTTGTTTTTTGCTTTGTGCTAGCCATGAAAGTCCTGAAATCAAATTACAAGAAAAAAACGTACCGTATATATATATACATACAGACAGGAAACACAATTTTTGATTTTTGCCAAAATGTCACGAGAGTTGAAGAGTTGGAGGGTCACATCACGTATTTCCATAATCGTTTCCGACCTTGCAGACGATAAATCAATACAGCATGCACCCGCTAGTGAGGCATTGCTATCACGATCACGATCGCTGGATTTGTAGTTTCAAAAGCGGACCCCGCAACCAAAGGTGTTTTGGTCTAGATTCCTTCACGCCCTGGCTCGCGTCACAATCAGTGCGTCGGTCTAGTTTCCTTCTCCAATGGGTCTTTGGTCTTTTGGGGGTGTTCCTCTAGAACCAACCCAGCTGGCGCGAGCCTGGGGGAGCGAGGGCGAGCGTTTCGGGGCCCGGTGACAGCGACCCTGGGAGTCTAAATTAGATCGTCCGCCGGAGAGACGTGCTCGCAGGAGACGCGTGTAGAAATAGGTCGGACATGACATGGATCGGAGTACCTTTATGTTTTTCGAGATAGTATATAATATATAATATATATATATAACTTAGGAAGACTACCTACCCAGTGGATAACCTTGAACCATTTTCTTTTTACTTTGTTTCCCCACTAAACAAGAGCAGGCAAAAAGGTTCACCGGGTAACCGTCATTTTCCAGGGAAACTGAGGGAGTCAGACGCACGGACGCATCAGTACGCATGTCTTTGGTGACCCGGTGACATGTCTGTACAAAAATCAGTGGACTCCATTGGAGGTCCAAAGAAAAAGCCATGAACAGTTCAGTTCCTTTTGGTTCCTTATTCCTTTTCAGGAAGAACCGATCAGAACAGGTCGCTTCGTTCTTTGCCGCATCTTACAGAACATGAAATCTGCCGGTCAATCCGTGAGCTTTGGGAACAAAGGGGCGTTTCACACTTCCCCAAGATGGTGAGATGGTGTTGCCTCTACTTTTCCTTCATCTACAGTGTACAGTAATCCCTCACAAGCATTCACTTTTGGGGGCTCTAGTGATCACAGGAAGACGTCGCCACCTTACACAAAGCATGGTCAGCAGTCACATATCACTCATGACATATCCATACATATCCCTGACAATGCAGGAATTCTTCTCTCCACTGTTGCCCGTGAGAGAATAACTTCGCTTATGGGTCTATCCTCCATTGAGCCCACAAGCCTTGGGGTGTCTTTGTTTTCTGGTTGGAAAAGAATTCATTGCCCTCAAACAAAAAGGAAGTGGATGCCACAGCCCCTTGGAAGTATCTCTGAACAAACAGGTGATGTTCCACTTCCATATTTCCATAATTGTTGGAGAGTAAATTACGATCATTCAGTGATTTCGGCTTTTCTCAGGAATCCTTTTGTTTATCCGATTATCCTTTGTGTAAAGGAATTGCAAGTTGGAGGATCATGGTGTGACCTGCAGACCTGATCACAGTCACTGCCAGGCCGTTCCGCTGGTATGGCCGATGCCATGAGTCAAATGATGGCAGCCTTAGCACCGGCTGGGAAGACCTAGTGTGACCAGACCAGTCTCAGACGAATGGAAACCGCATTAATGTGTGGATTGTAACCGCACAGAAACCGCGAACTCGTGGCACTGGTCGTCTTGGTTCTTGGTTCTTGATGACTTGTCAATTTGGTTCTTGGTGACTTGTTTTGGTTCTTATTGTTTTTACCGATGGACCGTGCAAGAATCCATGCCAAGCTTATAACACAGCCGGTTGACCAGGCGGGATGACAACTGGATCACAGCATCGGCCCAGGCCATCAATCCAAAACCCAACTGCTTGACACGACTGAGTCTAAATCAACATGGGGGCTGAGTGTGTGTTTTTCTGATTTGGTGCATGTGTTTGGACGTCCATTTTCTCCAAAAAAACAGGGGAACCCCCGTGTCAGCGGACCTCGACCAAGGAACTCTTCGAGTCTAGGGCAGTACTGACCATCACCACAGCATCACTGGGCACGTGCTTCCTCTGAGGTCATGTAGTTGCCAGAAGTTGAACTAGATGAGTTGACTGGACTGCAATACTCTGCCCTTGGCATGTTCACGACCCACATGCAAATCCGCTTCCTTTCAGAGGCGATAGGTCCGGTAGGTGCTGACGCTTCTTCAGAGTTGTGCCCACGCAAGGGCGGCGATCGTGCACTGTTCCAATCAATGCAGAAGACGAAACCCGAGTTGGAAGGGCGAAATGGTGAACTAGCAAACTTTATCCATATTTTTGTTGGCTGAAGTTGAAGATTCTCTGCCAGTTTTCACTGTTCTGCGCTTGCAGCTCGGGTCTTGGAAGTCTGCACGACGGCTCTGAAATTCAGTGCGCTGCGTCGTCGCAGCTCGGATTGGAGCTTCAAGGTTTAGGCCACGACGTGGTTTCATGAGAGAAACGAGTTGAGAGGGCCGGCAGATGCACCAGTCTCGCGGCTCTCGGCACCAGTCTCTCGGCTCGGAGACGCTGGTGATGAAACAAGCGAAGCATTGATGTCAGGCATGCCAATATGGGTCAGGCATGCCTGGTGAAGTTGAATGGAATCCTTCAAGCGCCGCATGGTTCTTTTCTTTTCGCGTATCCCAGCGGTGCGGTTGACCTACATAAGGACACGACTGTGTTGCTGCGAACGGTGCTGACAAGGACCGGTGCGACTGCTGGAGGTAGGTGCCTTCCAAGGACTACAGGCAGCACACGAGCCAGCGCAGAACGGCTGGCAGCACGGCTTTTGCAAGTGTTCATTGCCATTTTGGAAGATGTGGAGAAGCCTGGAAGAATGCTGCGGGACAAGATGGTAACATGTTTTCGCATGTTTTCGCAAGTCAAAAGGGCCACTTGGAACTGGTGCAGCTGGGTAAGACCATAAAATAAGCTGTTCTACTGTAGGGTGGTTTGCAGAGGACAATTGCATTTCAGGGTTGACCATCAGCTACCCTGGAAAATTGGATAACCTTAACTTAACCTGCCCAACCTGCCTTTTTCGGGGATTGTGGGCACCCCGCTTTCCACATGAACAGGTGGATTCAGATCGCTTCAGTGGGTTCACCGGATTTGTGACTTCACGGTTTCACGGTTCAGATTAACTCAGGGTCCATGGCAGTCTAAGGTGGACCACCTTCACAATGCGTTTTGGCCCTTTGTCTCAAGCCCTGCGAGCAGTGCGTTGTGCTGAGCCAGCGGCTGTCGCAAGACATCTATTCCGCCTTTGCACTAGTCACTACCAGGGGCCCTCAAAACCATGAAAAATAAAGGTATTCACATACCAAAACCGTTTTTTTTGCCTAGGGAAAACCAGGTGTTCGATGGTTTGTGGGGCCCCCTTATTCCGCATTTACACTGTAGAAAGGTTGTTCTCGATGTGATACGCCGTGGGCAGCCATTCATCCCATAATAGTAATAGGCATGGTATGAACGAACCGTCGTCCATGGCATCACAGGAATGCACAGGACATCGTACCCTTGCAACATGGCGCAAGGGTACGCTTTCAGGATAGCAGCTAGGCTATACTTATAGTAATAGTTTGTTGAGTAATGGTTGTCGAAGACCTGAATTTGAAAGTCTATCACCTCCATGACAAGCGGCACCTCCCAGCTAGGACCGATCCCAAGCAGTCCTCGCTCGGCGAGTCCTCGACCTAGGTGGCCGAGGCGAAGATGGCCGAGTTGGACCGCTTCCATGAGGCATTCCACAGCGACGAGGCCGGTTCGACGGTTCGGCGGTGCGGCGGTTCTGCGTCGTGTTGACCGTTGGGACCTGGTTTTGGGCGGCCGGCAAACAGGTATTTTTGGGGCGGAGAATGTGAAAAAAGTGAAAATAAGTGAACGGCAGGAGCAATCCCAAAAACGCGAAATAGAACCTACATATTTTCTTGACAGATTTTGATAGGAAAAGTCAATACCCTCTGGCCCGACGAGTTGTGCAAGTTTCTCCTGGAACCCGGCAAGTAGACAAGGCCACTGGTGTTGCTTTCCCTGCAAGAGGCAGCAGATACCTTATGCATTTGGTCAGATTTGTTGGAATCAAGAGCAGCCAGGCAAAATGTGTTTCCGGCCTGTGCTTGTCTTCTGTGGAACCGGCCTGTGTGGAGGAGAGCTACATAGTGGTGATTCAATGTGAACGGTGAGAGCTAGTTTTGTCGCCGAACTCGAACCCAGGTTGAGAGCTGGGTACCTTTTGGTGCATCAAAAGACGGATAAGGTTTGGAGGAGACCGATCCCCAAGGTTTGGGTCATTTGAAGCGGTTCCAATGGGAGAAGAGCCTGAAACTTGGGATTACTCAATTATTTATTGTCATTATTGATATACTATAACTACTGTTTGCCCCAAGGAGGATCCAATAGACAGACATGTACGTATATAAACATGATGCACACATGATCACATATGTGTGTTCACTCAACAGATCCCTTACAAGCCAATGTTTGACAAAAAATTTGAAACATCCATTCAGCTTCAGTCGTTGGGCTTCAGTTCGGTTGCCGAAGAAGAATCATACAATTTGCGGTGACATTGCTGCTTGAAAAGGTGGATGATGTCATCAAGAAGCATCACAGCACCCTTCAGGAGCTGAGTTCTAGTGGATGGAGTTGTTTCGGCAAAGGCAGATTAATTGAGATATCCAAATGATTTCTAGAGGAAGACAGTCGAAGGCAGCTGGGGTAGCGGTTTTGTGTATTTTACGGAGTTTCTTGGGGGTTGGGGTCTGATGGGCTTTGGGCTTGGCGGCTTGACGAGAATGATGGGAGGTGTTGGTTCGATGCTGGAACATACCGTGATTGAAGACATACTTGACTGAGCTGTTCAAAATCAAGCCTTAATCCTTGCGCGGATTGCGGTTTATACGGATTGCGGATATTTGATTCAAGTTGAAGCAGATGATTGCAAGGCAAGGATTGAACGGATGTGCTTCTTCAGTCAATATCTTCAATATCTCCTTGAGGAGAATCTAACAAGCCTGATTTTCCTTGGAGGAAATTGTGGCCAACTGCAAAGGTAACCAAGTAAGAGCAGGACTACAACTTGGACTCCGACTTGATGATTTACTCGACCTTGCTTCAAACACGATGTATACTTGCCACCTACTTCAAAAAAATCCAACACTGGTTGAATGAATGCTCATGATCAGTATACATCTACCAGGACCTTCAACATGACCTCTTGGTGTCTGTAAGTAACCTCTTCCAGGCCTTGTTTACGTACTATTTTCAGGTCTACAGTCCTCAACACCTCTTCACTTCTCTCTTTTGTGGGACCTCTACCGCCTGCTCTACCGTCCCACCAGGAGCTTTACCGGCGCTACAGCGGCCGCACGACTGTGCCCGGGGCCGTTGGGAACTCAGAGTCCAGATGCGAAAAGGCGGTTCTTTGCAAAAAGACACCTTTGTTCAATCTTTGTTCAATTCATTCAAAACCATATAATACATATATATATATATATATATCCCATTCATCCAGCTGATTCACCCTCAGAAATGTCCGTCCCAGGAAAAGACTTCACCCCGTCCGTGTCTGTCTCTTTTTCTGAGGCTCGCTTCATGTCCTTGGGTGAGTTCCAGGACCGACTTCACTCGTTCGACGGACGCCACGGAGGCCACGCGCACGCGCGCGGAACCGCGCGGAGAGACCCTGGCAGATGCCTGTTTTTGTTGAGCGAACCTGGCAGAACCTGACGTTCCGGTTTTTCATGTTTTTTAATGTCCGGTTGTCATGTTGGTTTTTCGTTGTTTTGTGACAAAGCAGCAGATGAGCACATCGAAGTGGTTGGAGCAATGGTTGTTTTGTTGATATCGTTTCAGGTATGGTGAGTAGGAAGCAGGTCAGTACAATAGCTATCACAGGACACCTGGCAGAGAAAGTTATGCATCAGGATTCAGTACACAGCTAGACTGAGTATCGAGGTATTAACGTTCTCGAACATCTGATTCAGTAACATCTGAGGTTCCATGGATAGGGCGCGGCTATCGTGGAGCTTAGAGGTTATGACAAGTTCCCATTCTCCATCTCCATCTCAGAGTTCCTATTCCCTTCTAGATCTGGAAAGAATCAAATGCTTTTCGGCTTGACTGGCATCAACTCCATAATTGGTTCTTGTTGCAACTGCACGCTCCCTAACTAGGACCCTTATTGTTTTTGATCTTATATATATATATCAGAGAAGCTTGGCTGGCATTGGCTGGTGTTTCCAACTCTCTACAGTATACATTATTTGTTATATTGTATGTACATAAATGTTTAGGGATCAGCAAGATTCTTTGTTGGTTCGACAAGAAGTCGAGAAGGTCAGGTACGTCCGGTCAATCGCTGCCTTAAATGACGTTTGTTCGGAGTGATCAACTTTTGCACAACTTCTTATGAAATTGCTCGATATGACGATGCCTTGAGAGTGTGTTGTTTTTTGGAGAAGGCCTACTTATGTGTTTGAGTTGGGTTTGAGGGGGCCCAACTAGCTTCTGAAGATAGAATTGGATACATAGCGTAACATGAACGGAACTGGAAAGTGGTCAGCGAGTTGGAGTTGGTTTCCTCTTTGCGATTGATTGGTTGAGAACCTGAGGATTGGTAAATAAGACTTATTTGAGCAATGATCAGATCCTGCAACCACCCCTGCCAGATCCTGCAATGATCCTCTTTGCGCCGACCGAACAAACTCCCGTGAAACCGGAGCGAAAGCCACCGCCTAGTTGGTGTTCCGAACGGCCATGCCATCCAGTGACTGTTCCAGGGAGTTGTTACATCAAGTGACAGACCCGGGTCCTTTGCTCCTTCCATACACCCCCTTGTCCTCCCAGGACTGTATCCGTCCTTGACAGGTGAGTATGAACATAGATAGCCTTTGACCATTTGCTTGCTTGATGAATACTCCAGGTGATTACAATACCCAGACCATGGGACTGGAATCTATGGCCCCTCCAAAGCAGCACTCCAAATGAAGGCCACTCGGCTGTCAGTCCCATGGAGTCATTGGGAGATACATGGCCCCGGTCGACTCTGGTCTCAGTGCACCGCGGCCCAACACAACGTGGCGCGCTCTTTGCGCCGGCGCCGGGCGTTCGTTGGTTCCAGTCCAAGGACTTCTTCGGTGTTGTTTTTTTTGTTGGCAGGACTTCCTGGAGGCGTCCAAGTCCTACAACTCCGACTTCGTGCCGAGGTCCGAAACGATGCGGAAGACAGTCCAAGTCCTAACGTGGAGGATATTCATTAGACATGTGATACTCGTATAAGTTATGTTATATAGTAGGTTAGATGTGTTGAAAGAAAAAACACATGAAAGTGATGTCCTTTTGAAGTGCTTTGTGGACAGGGAAAAGGACATCAAAACAAAGCCCTTTTGCTGTCCCTTGCCATTTGGAGTTCCTCAGATACATTTCAACTCTCAACGAAAACAATCGGAAAGCAAAGGAGATCAGAGGTTCAGTGGTGAATTTGTAGTTTATCCAGAAAAAAGAAAACAAACCTACATGGAAAAAGGCGACCCGAAAAACAAAAAAGGAAAATTCATGTCAATCCATTCCAGGGCGGGGTTGTGGAGTATACCCCTTGAAACCGTGCTTTACAATGATTTAGGCCATATGTTGATATGTGTAGTATTAGACTTAGTATTAGATAGGTAGGGGTCTCACATGGTCTCACCACCAACAAGTCGTTTTGCTCTATCGTCTTTCTTTTCAGGGTGTCGTTGCCACACTTGTTGCCCCGCCTGGGAGGTCTCACTTGAAACACCTGGGAGGTCTCAAGAGGAACCGAGTTCTCAAGAGTCGCATCGAGTCTCAAGAGGAACCGCATCGATGATGAATCCAAGTCACAGCAAGGTATTGTATTTCTTTGTTCGAAAACACCAAGGGCATCGGAACCACCACCGTGGTGAAAGCAAACCCAAAGCTGGGCAGATTGGGCAGAACACCCACTTTGGCAGAAGGGCATCGAAAAATTGTGTATACAGTATATGATTCCAACCCCCCGCACAATTCAAGGCATTGGACCTTGGAAAAGATCATGAAAGCCTCACCCTATTTTGCCCCTTTTACATGTCAGGATCCAACATTAAAGTTAATCTATTATGGGTGCACGTTTAATTTGGGATTGTTTTTTTCATTTGTGTTTGTTTTTTTTTTACATTGAAATAGAGCAGGTTTCTTATTAGTACCTAGCTAATTACAGCAATTTCGTGTCCTTAGCCGAGACACAGGTGTCGTAGCTGGCCGAATACATTGGAATAGTGCAGGTTTCATATTAATTGCTAGCTGATTAGACTAATTTGGGAGCTGTCGTAGCTGGCAAGAAACATTGGAATAGTGTAGGTGTCAGAGAAAGTCCTACGTTAGCAGAGAAACAGTAAAGAGAAAGAGAACCAGCACGGGAGGCATATATGATTGGTTAGAAGTTTATGCCCCGGGGAGTTCACCTTAAAATATTGATTTCGTGGCAGGCGCGGGTGTCGGAGATGAAGTGCAGATTTCGTGGCCCGGGGGGG